TAAATCAATTGTTATATTATGTTGTTCTAAAAGTTGGGTTTGAGGTTCTCCAAATCAACTCTAACTTCGGAAAAAATCCCACAATGCCCCGCGGTCAGCGTCACACGATGAATGAAAAACTTTGTCAAAAGTGGGATTAATGAGAGGGAATAAGGTGGGCGAATTGGGCATCTACTCATCAATCTGCAGGTCACATTTCATCCCTGAGAACTTCCACGGCGATCAACAATGGAAGGAGTGTTTCAGCAAGAAGTTGCTTCTCAAAGTCCCTACCACCAATGTGGCTTTAAAGCATCTCAAAACAGCCAGCGGCACCAGCCGAGCCCAAGCATTATCATAGGCTTCAGTGAGCATGGAAGTGAACCGGGTAAGTGAAAGAGCTATGCTAACATTAGCTAGCTATAACGCATTTAGCTCACGTCTTCCATCTAAATAACACTGATAAAACTAACCAACATGTAAACATGTCTGCCAGTAGTTGGTAGCTAACTGCTGATGCTGTCATACTATAGATAGTACAAGCCTATGGGAAAGAGTAGTTTTGTCTACGACGGAGGTCACTTACTATACAGAGCAAGTTTAAGGTGTTTGTGGGGGCTGAGCGTTGAGGTAATTCGGCCATTCTGTGGCTCCAGGGGAGTTTTCTATACAGCCTGCCGAGTGAAACGTCGGCCATGGATCTGATCGCGGATCTGGTGGCATTTCAGAGAAGCCCCAGATCCATGTTTTCTTTGGAGAGGTTGATTGTGGATTTTGCTCGATAGGAACGTTTATTTTAGCTTAGGATCAATGTTGTGACAGTTACTTCTTGTTGAAGAGGCAGCTGATAACGTTAGCTTGCTATAGCTAGCTATCCTCTTCCTCCATATCTGAATGAATTTGTGGCCATTTCTAGGAAGCAAAATAAGTGATCTCGATTTTGTTTGTGTACTGCCATATGTCAATAACATAGCTAAGTTTGTCACTGGTGTGGGCTAGTAAATATCCTAAACCTAGCCAGCTACTGTAGACTGCAAGCTAAAACTGGGGAGAGAGGGAGAAGAGAATTCACTTGCTTCATCTGCTGGTGGCTTGATAATGTTCACGCAGATACATATTTCCACATATAATTGATGAAATTACATTTTTATTCTATAAATATTGTAATTGTGTCAATATGTTGTGAATATTCTTAAAATCCTCACAGCCGTTTTCTATATTAAAAAGTGAAAGTGCCACTTACAGCTTACCATGTACATTAGGCTACAGGCAATATGTTCCTCCACCAAGTGAGTCAGAAATTACGATCTTACGTTCAGGGCTTTCCTTATATGCGGGGTGCATAAATTGTACAATTGTAAACTAACAAAGATTTTTTCAAGTTAAAACCCATGTATATTTAAGCAGTAAGGCACAAGGGGGTGTGGTATATGGCCAATATACCATGGCTAAGGGCTGTTCTTATGCAGGACGCAACGTGGAGTGCCTGGATCCAGCCCTTAGCTGTGGTATATTGGCCATATACCACAAACCCCTGAGGTGCCTTATTGCTATTATAAACTGGTTACCAATGTAATTAGAGCAGTAAAAATAAATGTTGTCATGCCCGTGGTACACGGTCTGATATCCCACAGCTGGAACCATTAAACTATTATTATAAAGATAAATTATAAACTAACTATTAACTTTTATAAACTGGGTGGTTCGCGCCCTGAATGCTTATTGGCTGAAAGCCGTGGTATATCAGATGATATACCACTGGTATGACAAAACATTTATTTTTACTGCTCTAATTACGTTGGTAACCAGTTTATAATAGCAATAAGGCACCTCGCGGGTTTGTAATAGATGGCCAATATACCGCGGCTAAGGGCTGTGTCCTAAGAACAGCCCTTAGCCGTGGTATATTGGCCATATACCACACCCCCTCGGGCCTTACTGCTGAAATATACAGCACCAACTTCATAAATATCTGTTTATGTCCATTATAGGCGGCAGGTAGCTTAGTGGTTAAGAGCGTTGTGCCAGTAACCAAAAGGTCGCTGGTTCTAATCCCCGTGCCGACTAGGTGAAAAATTGGTTGATGTGCCCTTGAGCAAGGCACTTAACCCTAATTGCTCCTGTAAATCGCTCTGGATAAGAGCTTCTGCTAAATTACTTTAATCGGGGGCTCTAGAAAGAGTTCCCATAGTGACTGCAACAGCCCATTCATTCGCCCTCACTACTAATTGTTTGGTGGTGGCAGTGCATCGTTACATAACATGTTAACATGTGGGAGGTATGGTTAGATGAGGGGATGGCCGTTCAACATGAGTGGCAAGTGGGAACACCACTCACACTTCCTTGAAATAGCTAGTTAGCTAACTAAAAAACGTTTGTTCATGTCTTCTGGCAAGTTAAACGACTTGTCACTGTGCAACATGTTTCTGATTCCTTCGTGTAATGGGTCAATGCTGGTTGCAATTCAAAAGAAAACATGGAAAGCTTTTGCACTTGTTCCACAGCTATAGTTACCAACTAACTTTTCATATGTCCATGGACGGCAACCCTATCCAGGCTTGCATACACAAAGTGGGCGGGAAATTAAAGCTTGCTACCGACCACTCGTGTCCAGGTAGAAGGCCTGAAAACAGGACACGAATAATACCTAAATAGCTAGCTAAACCTCACGCGAGTTCCCAAGCTGCTAACAAGTAACAAATATCGTTCGAATGCAGCGCGGTAGGTTAGTTAACGTTAGCTAGCCGTGGCGGCTAGCCCGCTAGCTAGCAAAAAATACAGTACCTAGATAACTAGCTACTGTACCTGACATTTCTCACTGTCCATTTTCAACTGAGAAATGTTAGCGGTTTAGTTATGCATTTAGCTGTTAGAATATTTAGCTAATGAAATTAAACTTAGATTGCGAGAGGCTGGACATAACATTTTAGTTCCTTGTTCTGTCCAAAGACACATTTGACTAGCTAGCTAGTGTACCGTTAGCTTAGCAAAACTTAACTACCACTACCCAAACTTCGCTAGTTAGTTAGCTACCTAGCTTGGCAACATGGATCTAGCCAATTAGCTAGCTATTTAGCCAATAGTTAGTTGGCCAAGACTATTGCAAATGTACAAGAAATCAAACCAACATTTACAAAACCATTCAGTAATTTTCCGCTGCAAAAGGGTTATGTTACCAAACCAGGAGGCCGAGATTCTAGCAAGACAGAGATCAAGTTGGCTGGCTAGCTACTGTAGATTGCTGTTGTCCATGCCATGGGGGCGAGAAAGGAAAATATTTATTTGTACGTCACTCACACATGCTGAAAGACGCTTGAAATAATCCCTACTTACTTTACAGTACTCCACAGTATCTCGAAAACGAGTTGACTGATCAAGCACTGCTGGCTGCCACGGTGCGGACAGCAGCTTCTTCTTCTTATTGGTACCTCTCTGCCTTTGCTGTTTTTACGAACCGTCTAGTAGCTGATACTGCGATGTGCTCCCAGACGCCATTTCCCGCCTCCTCACCCACACTCTTTCGGTGGCAGATACCCGGATGACAGAGGACCGCTTGAGCCAGAGGCGTCAATGAGGTGGTTCGTTTATCTGTCCCGGGTTACCCCGGTGCGAGGAGTTTAGAGCGGGTTAAGTGATTGCATTAGTTTTTTAACCGGGCTGCTCCCGGCCGACGGCAAAGTCGGCTCAAAACAAAAGTGACGTAATTAAGCACGAGTTATAGGTAGGTTTCTGTGTTTTCACATGCAAAAGTTATTGCTTTGGATAAAAACGCTTTACCTGCCTTCCCAATGAAAACTAGTTTGAAAATTCAAACATTTATTTTATGGAAAAGAGATGTATGTTTCTGGACGATGCACCGTGCTGACATGACCAAGATGCGCAGTTTACTGTTTGATTTGAGAAGGGCGCTCCTCCCTCCCCGCTTTCGCCCGATGACGTGCCGGGCCATTGGCCGGTTCGACCCGGCCAGCGTAATATAACTCTATTTTTCCTTTGCGTTGGCACATGAACTCACACCCCTTTAATTTGAATAACAGTACAGTACCAGAGATACTCTCTGCCAGTACATACCGTTACCTGGCCCTGAATCCCCCGAGCACCCATGAGTGTGGTTCCTCTCGAGGTTTCTTCCTTCCGGGGTATTTAGTAGTTTTTTTTCTTCCATACAGCTTGTGGTTTTACTTGCAATTGCTTGATCTTTGGGGGTCTTCTATGCAAGACTAATAACGCTTACAAATGTTGAAAAAAAGAGCGAGTAAAATGTAATTTATTCATTGAAAATACTATAAATGTTATGGTGGCTTTATGGGCATTTGAACTGAATCAAGATCATCTGGTGATGTGGATTTGATTACAACAGAGAGGATTCTGGTAACACTGACATAGTATACAAAACATGAAGAACACCTGCTCTTTCCATGACATAGACTGACCAAGTGAATTCAGGTGAAAGCTATGATCCCTTATTGATGTCACTTGTTAAATCCACTTCAATCAGTGTAGATGAAGGGGAGGAGACAGGTTAAAGAAGGATTTTTAAACCTTGAGACATGGATTGTGTGTGTGCCATTCAGTGGGTGAATGGGCAAGGCAAAACATTTACGTGCCTTTGAACGGGGGATGGTAGTAGGTGCCAGGCGCACCGGTTTGTGTCAAGAACTGCAACGCTGATGGATTTTTCACGCTCAACAGTTTCCAGTGTGTATCAACAATGGTCCAACACCCAAAGGACATCCAACCAACTTGACACAACTGTGGGAAACATTGGAGTCAACATGGGCCAGCATCCCTGCCACAAGCACATGCAGTTTTCCCATTGTCAGTCAGTCACCTTTTCAGGTGAAGTACAGTTCACATGCACATTCACAAGAGGTTACAAAATATATTTTTTTTTATAAATCATGGATCAAAAGGCATTCAGGGGGAAACAATTGTTTAATTACTTGTATCAATAATGACCACTTAAGAATTATTTATTATTCTTCCAATAATGACCACTTAAGAATTATTTATTATTCTTCAGTATGAAATGATAAATTAATTGCCCCCAAGATCAGTGATACCAACAGCTTTTAATAATCCCCAGCAGATAAGTAACACGTTGGAATTTGAGGGAAAACTTAGTTGGGGACTGGCTGACTGGTTCACAGTTATATCCATTAGCATCTAAATTGTACAGTTGTAACAATTAACTACCCAAATATCTTAATTACATTATGATCTTGAAAAACCAAAACATCAGCAGCGTACATTCAATATGCCGACCTTCCATATGAAATCACCAACTTTTAGACAAACAAAACTGATTTTATGCTTATTATTTCAAGGAAGAATAGTCTCTCGAGTCCTACAGTTAAAATAGAAACAGTTCAAATATGTACATCTATGCCTACTGTAGTCCATTCTTATTAGCAGGACAGGTGTGCATTGAGCTTTTAGTCCTCCACAGGATTCCTAATTCTAAACTGGTCTAAGTATTGTATCCAGCTTCAAGACGTTCTTCAGGTTGATTAATAAAGATTGCATGCACTTTGGAGTGTTATGTCTGTGACAGAAATAAGATGAACAAAGAGGTTTAAGAAGCCATGAGAAGTCCTTGGCAGAAGCGCTGCGTTGGTTGGAGCAGCTGTGTTTGAAGTGTGGGCGTCCATACAAGAGTCCAACAATAAGAGAGAAAGCGTCAAATTCATTGACACAGTTCGGAGCAACAGTTTTCAGGTTTTTTTTCTTTGTCAAGTAACAGCTGTCCCAAATCAGAAGGGAAACATATTCCTTTTTAGGTAAAGACAAGTAAAATTAAAGTTCCCCATTTCAAGCAATATGCTATGCCTGCCAGTCTAGGTGACCAGGTCAGCAACAGAGTCATCTAAGCCAGCGATGTTCTGGGCCAAACTGGCTCTTTCAGACCACTACAGTCTATTCTTGCAGCTGACAGTTCATTCAAAGTAGTAAACAAAACAAAAGCCTTCATAATCTGTCATGAAAAAAACATTACAAATGTACACTGTATAGCACTCTTGTACATTATATCATTGTAATCGCTAAGGAATTCTAATACCAAATAAATTATAAAATCATTATTTGCAAGTCAACGGCTGCACAGAACCATATTATCATGAATTGTTTTATAGATTCAATGATACATGGTTTTAGGTCAAACTGCTTCATGGAATAATAATCTGTACCGTGTCTTCAGAACAGTCCATCGCCATAAGAGATGCACCTAAAACGTCTTCATGATTCCAACCAGTCCTAAGAATGACATCCGAAGCAACAGTGAAACAAAATGCGGAGGAATAAACCCTTTTGCTCGAATTTGCTATCCCACTCCATTTCAGTAAGATCCTAGAGCAAGTTGATAAGGTTTACAAAATGTCGATGGCTTGACGTCTCTTTCCATAGTCCACTGCCCGGTCTCCCTGCATGTCTCGGTCTTCATCATCTGAAAGGAGATTGAGGACAGAACATCAGGGAGTAGTCATCTCCCTCATCCCTAAATAACAGCTGCTAGATAGATTTAAAAGGAAATCCCTAAAGATTATCATTAGGAATGCTCAATAGAAGAGCAACATATTGTATGTATTAGTCTTGTCCCATGTCCGCCATAGAATTCCTTAACACTACTTTGTCATCACAGTAGCCTATTCGAAAATGGCACTTTCAATGGCAGGAACAACAACAGCTGTTATAAATGGTTATGATTTACATTTACATTAAAGGTTAACACACAAAACACTTCACAATCTAACCTGTCGTGGAGAAATGAATGACAGCCGTATAATAATGATAAGACCAGAACGCACATGCATTTGAAACTTCAAGTACTACTCAAACACAGCATCTATTCATCTACTGCAGGTGTACACAGATGTCCAGTGGGCACAGACAGGTGGCGGAGCACAGACAGTGGGGAAGCGCACAGCTGGATGGGGCATGCAGACATTGGAGTGGAGTCACACAGAACCATAAGTCACTGAGGGAGAGAAGTGCCCCTATCCACATGTAGAGGTAAGGCTTTATTGTGGTATACAATGATGGGAGGCTTGCCCTCCAGCCTAAATGACCCACTGAACAGTCCTCAGGCTTAGATCCTGAGGGGAGGTTGGTTATGGATGTTCCGGAGACAGGAATGGTGGGTAACTCAGGGTGCTGTGAGCTATGGCCGAGCTGGTGGTACTGAATCTAATGCAGGGGCAGCAGGAGTGGAGGAGGGAGAAATGGTGATACAGCTGGACTTGAAGACCCCTGGCCTGGCTCACCTTGGACGTCTTCCTCCCCACCATCACCATCCTCTTCCTCATTGTAGGCCAGCTCGGCCTGCTTGTCCGCCTCGTACTCACCCACGTTCCCATCGTCCCCATTGTAGTCCGCCAGCTTAGAGCCGTGCTGCGGATCTACAGGGGACTCGTTCTCATCAAAGAAACGGCCTGTAGAGGCAGAGAAGGGCCCCATCAGGAAGGGAGGGAAGCAAAGAGATTGTGACAGAGTCAGAAGAAGGGGGAGAGAGTGAATGAAAGAGAGGATGATGAAACTAAGAAATGGAGGGTATGAGATGGACTGAAGGAGGAGGTGATGGGTTGGACAGTAAAGGTATGGGAGGGAGGCATAGTATATATGTTTAAGGGGTTTTTTTGGGGGAGAAAAAAAAAGTAATTGGCAATGAAGTGATGTCAGTGTAAAGGAACTTGGGAGGAAAACATGTGTGTGTATGTGTGGTGCAGAGTGTGTGAAGATGAAGCAAGGAGAAGGGTAGCTGGCAGGGCAGCTGGTTGGGGTATTGTTTGGAGAGTAGGCAGCGAAGGGAGGGAGGGAGGGAGCAGAGCTGAAGCCAGGCAGGCAGCAGGAAGGAACACCCTGAGACCCTTGAAGTCAGGGGGCCTCTCTCACTGTGCGTACTCTATGGCATCTGGCCATCTCTCAATTCAGTCTGTGGCGACAGCACCTCTAATATGAATGACTTTATGAGCAGTGTTGAGGAAGGTTTGTTAAAACCCTGATAGCTAGGGAAGGCAACCACTTATAGTAGACCTAACGCAACCTTGAGAAAGAAAACTCTAGATAGGGCTCGGACTGCAGAGTGCGTTCAAAAATAGCTTATGTTATTGTAAAGGTTATGTTGTAACCTTGACACATCTGCAAGTGAGAGAAGCTCTTCTTACTGGGACGCTGCAGTTACATTTCAGAGTAAAGACACAACCACAGCATAAGTCTCCATGTGTCACATCTCCTGTGTACTGAGAGGTCCTCAGTCCCCCCCCCATCTCCACCAGCCTTTGGAGGCACTCACTCTGTCTGTGACGCAGGGGCTCAGCAGGCTTGGGGTCTCTGGCATGCCGAGGTTCTATAGGGTTAGGCACCTGGGCGGGGTTAGGAGGCAGTCCTGCCCCTTTCCTCTGTACACCATCTGCTTTCATCACATTGTCAGGAGCTTAAAGGAGACAGCGAAACAGAGGTAGCATCAATAATGACTTTTCTGTTAGAAATATTTCACCAGAAATTTGGTCATCCTTTTTGGGCTTTTCATTTCAAATGTACAGTAGAGAGGTTTAGGGTGAACTCTGTCCTGTAGTACTGAATGTGCTCCTTCACAGAAAGCTAGCTTACAGTTTGAAGGAGCATGTTTTCAATCTCTGGGAGAAAAGGATTAATCACCTTTAAAAAGACAGAGGTTGCCAAACAGAGAGCAGAGCACTGCGCCAACAATACTTTTCCCTCCATTTTCTACACAAACATTCCATGAAAAAAAAATCTGAACTAAAAACAGGAAGCCAGCATGGCTCACGTTTTATGGCAGCTAGTGTGGAGTTGAAGAGAGGCCAAGAGCAGCGGAGCCTCTGCTGCACACAGCCATTAAGAGCCCAGTCAGAGCAATACCCAGGCCATGGCCTCAAGTCTCAAACTCAATGGCAGACCATGATAGCATGTCACCACTAAAGCATTACTGTTCTAAATAAGTGGTTTTGTCTCTGTGCAGCAAAACTAATAAAGTACATTGAAAATGCAAATATGTAGTGTGTGGAGCATGAGTTGAGTTGACATACCTCTAAGCGGTCTGTGCTGCTCTCCGAACTCATCTGCCTGGATGGCTGCCTTGTTGTCCTCGTCAAAGAGGATGGGTCTGTCTGCCACCGCCTGGGGGGGCTGCTGCTGGAGGGCCCCCGCTCGCCCCTCCATCCCCAACCCTAGGACCTTGTCCTGAATCTGGAGCACAGGCCGGTCCAGAGAGAGGTCTCGCCCAGCCCCCTCACCTGCCCCTGCACCCGCCTCTGCTCCCATACCAGCCCCCACCTCTCTTAACCCAGTATCAGGTATCTCTATGTGGTTCTGGGTGATGGCTGGCTTCTTCAGAGCTAGAGACAATGAGAGGGGAGGAGGACAGTTCCACTTGAGAGGGGAGGAGGACAGTTGACACAACTTACTGCCAGGGTCATCATCAAAAGTAGAATAACCAGAGAGAATAAATACTCACCAAATTGCACATCATCTATTTTTCCCACTTCACTGTCCTCAATACCAGGCATGCCAGCATCACTGCCAGGCTTGCCCAAATCTTCTGTGCCAGGAGGGAGGGAGAGAGAGAGATTGGGGAGAGAAAAGAGTGGATGGGGTGGAGGGAGAGTAGAGTGGGTGGGGTGGAGGGAGAGAGGGTGGGTTAGCTCTGAAACATATTACACAGGCAGAATGTGGCAATATGAGCTGGTTGTAATGTTACCTTTGAGGTCAGTGTCTCGTTGGTGTGTGGCCACAGTGTGGTGCTCTTCTGCTGTCTCCACCTCAGTCCCTCCTTCTGCAGCTCCGACCTTCCTGCTATCCAGCACACTCTGCAGAGGGTGGGGAGGGAGGGGAGGGAGAAGAAACAGAGAGGAGAGGGATGAATATAATCACTATTGCTGGGTAAGCAAAAAAGTCACAATGACTAAGTGCAGAGCTGCTGACATCCAGGACAAAGGATATTCCACAGTGTATGATCTATGAACACCAGCAGGGGGTGGTAGACAACCACTTACATTACGGGGAAAGGAAAGGTAGGGACATCATGACTAGGTGCTCTGATAGAGGGCCTCACCTTTCTCAGCTCCACCGCCTCCTCCTCCAGGGTCTTTTTAGCTTCTTTATACTCGTCCATTAGTTGTGTGATTTGACGCCCACACTGCAAACTAACATACACACAAACAATTGGTTAGACAAATCAGAGAGAAAAGCAATGAAGCTCGTGTTAGAATTCACACCAATGGCTATATTGGTGCGATAGTCATTATAACCTCAATTTTGCTGTGATTTTGTGAGCCTAGAGCAAGAACATGAAAGATTTATTGAAAGAGTTCATTCTCTGTACCTCTCATACTCCAGCTTCCTCTCCAGATTGGTGCTGTTCTTCTTCACCTCCCTCAGCTGGATCTCCTGCCTCATAAACTCCTGTTTCAGCTCCTTCAGCTGCTCTACACCCCCCCAAAAACACACAATATAACCTTAGGGTTCATATTCTATGGACAAATGCAATTTCAACCCATGCAGTGATATTAGGCTACAGCTTTAGTGTTGGACAATCATTCAATAAAGAAACTAGGAATGACAACATTGCAAATCTGTATGCATTAGAGTCCACTTGGGACTTGAGATAAAACATCTTAACAGCACTAACAGCATTATGCAAACTGCTGTTACTGCTCCAGGCTCCATCTATGGTAATACAAGCCCATACTGCCTTCTGCTAGCCATAAGACCCCAACAGAAGTGTGCCCTCTGCTGGCCAGTGTCTGCTCTTACCTTTCAGCCTCACAATCTCCGACATCTGTGCTGTGACATCACCCTGCACCTTCATCTGGGAAGGACAGAAAAGAACATCAGTCTGAGGAAAGGTCACCAGAACACTTTGTTACCAGAACTCTTTGTTATCATATTAATGCCAAATACAACCGGTTTAACAGGAAATATAAAGTGGCTGAACTAGCCTAACTGGAAGGATGACATTTTTATACTAAGGCCAGGTGCAATAGCACTTTAATGTCAGCTCAGCAACAGAGATATCTAGCTGAATAAAGGTTCTGCTGAGTGAAAACTGCTTGCAAAATGCTCCATCGGATTCATTGTGTCTGACCAGCCGAGTGACTAGAAGACCATCTGCAGCCAGATAGAGTCAGATTAGATGGAAGAGAGATCCTAGGGACAGCCAGGCTGAGGAAGTCAGAACAATCCACAGAGCAGCAGCTTTCATTAGATCTCCTCTCCCCTTCATAATGAAGCCTGATGGAGGGAGAGAGGGAGACCTATCTAAGCTGAACACATCTATGGCTCACTGTAATAGGAATATTTAAGATGAATAAAGTTCACATTCAGGTTAGAGTGATTAACAATGTTTAGCATTTTTATACATTTTCCCTTTCTGTAATACAGAAATGGTTTCTAGTGTTCTGTTTGTGACACTTGGGTTGATGTCACTAAACTGGATGCTGTATGTTATGGGTTAAACTCATATCTGTTGATAGTGATTGACGCCAGACTGGAGGTACAAGGACACAGTGATTGCGATTGTATTCTGTGAAACACTGATTCTGTAGCAACTTACAAAGTCCATGCCTTTTGTTTTGACTTCCCAATAGCCTCTCGGGTTTACAGAACCGTTGTCTGCTGTTTAGAATATAAGGGCCTTCTCAGAGAAGACCAGTTAGACATTTTCTCTGCTTCTGTGTTGGAGGTGTCTCTCTGTTGCAACTTGTAAAACAGAATTGATTTGCGATTGACTTTCTGTGACTGCTCTTTTGTTCACCTGGAAATTCCTATTACATCCCCAGACCGCTTAGAGTGAAACCAGCTTATAGTCAGAACAATGTGCTATTGACCCATTACACATTACACACTGACCGCCTAAGGAGTTATTCCACTTCTTTACATACATGTACAAAGACAAAATTCAATTGCAAGTGTTTTTGTTGCCTCAACGAGAGGAGAGCGGCTGTGGCTTTGAGGTAGATTTCAGGAGCAGCAGGAGGGGTGCAAGCATTGATCTCAGGGGACTGAGGGGAGGAGGTGAATGTGAAATGCAGCTGGGAGAGAAACAGAGGAGGATGGAAGGCCATCCCCAGGGCTCTATTTGTGCATGCTTAGAGGGACAGAGAACGTGAAGTGTCTACATGTCTGGTATCTGCACATTTCTGTGTCCATATGCGCAAGATTGACAGACATTAGCCTACGTGGCCACACCAACACCTGAGCTGTATTAACATCTATTCATGTATACAGTTACCTTTGTATTGAACATAATATAACACAGTAAAAGAGGTGAGGCTGAGTGTGTGGCAACATTAGGCTACATCAAATAAGAGTAGGTATTTGCGTTCTGTGCTCAACATAAATCAAGCATGTTGTATCTGTGGATTTGTTACAAAGGCATTATGAGATTAATTTATGCATACATCCTGTGTTCAGTTTCATATTTGTGCAATGGTTATACACCGTTGCCAGATGTAGGCTACACCTATTTCAAAAGGAGACGAAATCCTAATTTATCCAGTTTGCTTTCCTTTGTCCGGTCTTTCCCTCCCCCTACCTTGACCACAATAAAAAAGACGGCTCAGCGCCCAGTGTTACCCAGTGACCTAAAGAGGGAGCCATTATCGCAGCCCTCCTCATTGGCAGTACAATCAGTCACAGAAGGAGCTACTGCACATGCACTGCCAAATATACTTGGTATCCTCTCCTCTACCATGCACAAAGTAAATGCATTCACTTGGTAGAACAAATTAGTAGATGCGGAGCATCACATCTGCAATACCCATCTTTTTGAATATACCAAACCATATCTAATTGAAAGCGCTCAAGCTGTCCAAAATCCAACACAGGCCATATATGTCCACTCAGGTCAGTGGCTGAGAGACCACAGATGGCAGACGGAGTGAGAATCTGTCAGACGAGAGAGTTCTGTCCTCCTGAGCCCATGACTGATCCAGACAGGCCCCTCTCTGCCCTCCACTCAATTATACCATCTACCTTATCTGGGGTCTGACTATATCTCTAAAGCCCAGCCAAACGTATAACCAGTCAGAATGAGCAAAACTGTCATCAGTGTAAGGACAGGAGATTAACTGCGAAAAACCACAAGCATAGGACCATCAAACCTAGGAGCTTCATACACCTACTGTATTCTACACCATCAATGCATGAAATAAACTAAGACAAAAGTAAGCGTCAAACCCAGCCCGGAGAAACCAAATCGATTTGAGCATGGTGCAGACACCAAGGGGATGCCTTGCTGGCTGGGATTACCCTTTCAAGGTGGAAGCAACCACAGGTCAAAAGAGATCACTACTTTATTTGCCTGTCCCCATACATGCAATCCAATACTAGTCTCTCCCAAAGCAGATTCTCTCTCTGATAGCTCCATTGGCCCAGTCACTAAACAGTGTGTTAGGCTGCCATCATGTCTGATATTCCTTCTTCATGTGCTCCTGTTTGTTCATTGAAGGGAGTGAAAGCGAAGGAACCGCTCAATGAGTAAAGAAACCGTTCTTTATAGGCTAAGGAGGGAATAGTATCCATTCGGGCACCCCTATATGACTGTCCCACAGACAAACACCTCCCCACAAATGAGATTCACGTCTCCATCAGTAGCCACTAGCCACCAATCAAATCACACGGGTGGATTCTCCAGGGAGAACAAAGGGCTTGAATCAAATCCACAGAGAGAGAGAGAGAGAGAGAGAGAGAAAGAGGGGCTCAGGACTTTAATGAGACAGAATGCACAGAAGAGGAGTGTCAGTAATTACAGCATCAATGTCAGCCATTGTGGAGATAAAAGCTTCATGCTGTCACCTTCCCTGAAAAGAGACACTGAGTGGTTCAGTCTCTCCACCAAATCTGCTGTGTGGAAAATAACAGTGCTCTTTCTAGGCACCCACAAAGCACACTGCGGATGTGGAGACCGAAACATTAAAGCAAAGCACCTCAAAGACTTTTACATTGTGTTGCTTCTCTATCCTTCAGCCCTTTCAGCAGTACTAGGAGAGGACTATTGGCATAACTAGGCTATGCTAATACACCTTGATTACTACTACCACCACAACTCAAATCCCATTCCTGATATGGTGTGTGACTGACAGTTACTAACACACCCTGTCCTTGGTAGTGGAGTTGACAGAGGAGTGGAACACCTGCACAGGAGGAACAGAGTAGAACAGGATGCTGGTTAGGGTTGGGCGATATTACGATAGCATCGTCTATCGACGACGATTGACAACCATCGTCGATGGCGACGACATGATGTGAGACAGTTTAGCCTAGATAGTCTATTAGTCACATGCACAGGGTCGCTGATGTAACCACAGGGTACAGTGAAATTCTTATGCGCTGAGCTACAACAGTGGAGGTTAATAAAAATGTGAATGAGACAATATTTGCCTATTTCAATAAATATGTTACAGTGCCTTCAGAAAGTATTCACACCCGTTGACTTTTTCCACCTTTTGTTGTGTTACAGCCTGATTTTTAAATGGATTAAATTGAGATTGTGTGTCACTGGCCTACACACAATACCCCATGTCAGTGGACAGTTTCTAGACATTTTTTTAAATAAAAAATGAAAAGCTGAAATGTCTTGAGTCAATAAGATTTCAACCCCTTTGTTATGGCAAGCCTAACTAAATTCAGGAGTAAAAATGTGCTCACAAGTCACATAATAACTGGCATGTACACTATTTTTTTTTTTTTTTGTCATTTAGCAGACGCTCTTATCCAGAGCGACTTCTAGGCGCAATTAGGGTTAAGTGCCTTGCTCAAGGGCACAGACAGATTTTTCACCTAGTCGGCTCGGGGATTAGAACCAGCGACCTTTCGGTTACTAGCACAACGCTCTTAACCACTAAGCTACCTGCCGCCCCAGGCATGATTTTGGAATAACTACCTCATCCATGTACCCCACACATACAGATAATTGTAAGGTCCCTCAGTCGAGTAGTGAATTTAAGAAGGGCACCCATTGGTAGATGGGTAAAAAATACAAATAAAGCAGACATTGAATATCCCTTTGAGCATGGTGAAGTGATTAATTACACTTTGGATGGTGTATCAATACACTCAGTCACTACAAAGATACAGGCATCCTTCCTAACTCAGTTGCCGGAGAGGAAGGAAACCGCCCAGAGATTTCACCATGAGGCCAATGGTGACTTCAAATCAAATGTTATTGGTCACATACACATGTTATTGCAGGTGTAGTGAAATGCTTCTAAATGCTTTAAAAAACTGTTAGAGTTTAATGGCTGTGATTGCAGAAAACTGAGGATGGATCATCAACATTGTAGTTACTCCACAATACTTACCTAAATGACAGAGTGAAAAGAAGGAAGCCTGTACAGAATAAAAATATTCCAAAACTAAAGTAAAACTGCTAAAAAATGTGGCAAAGAAATTAACTTTATGTACAGAATACAAAGCATTATGTTTGGGTCAAATCCAACACATCACCGAGTGCCACTTCATATTTTCAAGCATGGTGGTGGCTGCATCATGTTATGGGTATGTTTGTCATCGGCAACAACTAGGGAGTTTTTTTTAGTATAAAAATAAACTGAATAGACTTGAAAATGGCTGTCTAGCAATGATCAACAACCAACTTGACAGAGCTTGAAGAATATATATTTGTTGTATTTTGTAATGTTTTAAAATGGGCAAATATAGTACAATCCAGGTGTGCAAAGCTCTTAGAGACTTACCCAGAAAGACTCACTGCTGTAGTCACTGCCAAAGGTGATTCTAACATGTATTGACTCAGGGGGTTGAATAGTTATCTAATAAAGATACTTTTATTTTTCATTAATGTTCTACAAATGTTAGAATTTTTCTTCCACTTTGACAGAGTATTTTGTGTAGATCGTTGACAAAAAATAATAATTAAATCACTTTTAATCCCACCTTATAACAAAATGTGGAAAAAGTCAACGGGTGTGAATATTTTCTGAAGTCATTGTATGGGCTAAAGCACCCCATTGTGATATCATTACTTCACATTCACTGTAAACAATGTAACTTTTGACACAAATCAGCTACTTTGACCACTTTCCCAACAAGTTAGACAAAATGTTATAGGATATGACATCTTGATCAACCTCTCTGCTATTCAAATATGGAATCAGAACAAAAATATATTGTACAGATCTAACGATACAGCTGTTTTAGTATCCACATCAATAACTTGTTGTATACATTTTTGTCAATTTGACCACTTTCCGAACAACAGACAAAAAGTTATGAGAGGGTATGAAATCTTCCTCTACTATTCAAATCTGGAAATAAGAACAGAAATATCTACTACCTATAGTACAGCCGTTTTAGTAACAAACTAATTTAGCCAACTTTCCACTGTTGAATTAACTGCCATGGAACTTTTCAGAACTTTCAAATTATAACAATGGGGGAGCACAGTCTAAGCATGAGAAAATTGATGTTTCTCAATATGCATGCTACCGCGCTCCACACTCTCAAGCGCCGAGTGCATTCTCTGAGGACGTTCTCTTGAGTACATTATTGTGAGGACGAGTGTGGAGAACGCATAAAACATTACATTTGAGAAGCACTCGCAGTACTTTATTACCTTACGCTGCACCTCCACTGAACCTTCTTCCAGCCAGGACAATGGCAACAATAGAAACGAAACAAGATATACGCAAAGCAAACGTTTTACTTATCAGCTAGCTATATGTGAATCATAATAATCTAGCCAGCTAGTTCAACAGGCAAAAATGACCTCAAATGTTATGCAAGGTAGATGTCAAATCTTTGTAGGTAGCTAGCTAGCTAACAATTATTAGTGACTATCTGGCTAGCTAACAGTAGTAGCTAGCCAGTTAGCCCTATTGACTTACTATGGGCTTGCAATCTACGCACACTACAGTGGGTATTGTAGGCAAGTAAACATACCAAAATTAACACAGCATGTTTTATTAATGTATCAAGATAAAACATAGTCAGGCAACATATAAGATGTGAATAAGCAACATTTCATTCCGAAGTCGGAGTGTATTTTCTCTCGCTTCAGCTCAAATAATGACCGCCACTTTTTACGTGGTTGCATCACATTTCTGTGCATACTTTACATTGAAGCTTGCGTCGACGCATGCTTCAAAATATGTGCAAACAGAGTACGCGTTCGAGAAGTGCCCTCTGTCGCATACATTGATTTGGACTCATACTCCGACCCTCCCGTACTCGGAGCACGGTGGTATGCATTTTGAGAAACACCAAATGAGCAAATGTGACTTTTAACACAAATCAGCTACCTTGACCACTTTCCCCAACAACACATCATAGATAAAAACTTAAAAGGGTATGACACCTTGGTCTACTTCTCTGATATTCAAATCTGAAATCAAAACAGCAATAATTACAACCAATCACAAAATAAGCCAGTATAGTGTAGAGAATCATTGTACCATCTAAACCACTGTGAAATATATTTTTCATAAACAAAAATATTGTATTTTCAGCTGGTGTACAAAACTGAAAGTAAAGACGCCAAAAACTAAACTTAAGAACGGGAAGCATAGAAATAGTGCACATAGAACCGATCTACCGCTTCTTAAACTTGCTTTTAATGACAAATCTATAACTCATATTTCTATGTCTTCTGTACTCTATTATTACAGTTTGCATATACACTGTGGTATTGTAGTAAGAGAGTGGATAACAGTGTAGTAGGCTAGTCTGAGTGTAGTTATTTGTGATAAAATGTGATCTCCTATTACCTGTATTAACTGCACCTGTTTGAACTCGTTACCTGTATAAAAGACACCTGCCACACACTCAATCAAACAGACTCCAACCTCTCCACAATGGCCAAGACCAGAGAGCTGTGTAAGGACATCAGGGATAAAATTGTAGACCTGCACAAGGCTGGGATGGGCTACAGGACAATAGGCAAGCAGCTTGGTGAGAAGGCAACAACTGTTGGCGCAATTATTAGAAAATGGAAGAAGTTCAAGATGACGGTCAATCACCCTCGGTCTGGGGCTCCATGCAAGATCTCACCTCGTGCGGCATCAATGATCATGAGGAAGGTGAGGGATCAGCCCAGAACTACACGGCAGGACCTGGTCAATGAACTGAAGAGAGCTGGGACCACAGTCTCAAAGAAAACCATTAGTAACACACTACGCCGTCATGGATTAAAATCCTGCAGCGCACGCAAGGTCCCCCTGCTCAAGCCAGCACATGTCCAGGCCCGTCTGAAGTTTGCCAATGACCATCTGGATGATCCAGAGGAGGAATGGGAGAAGGTCATGTGGTCTGATGAGACAAAAATTGAGCTTTTTGGTCTAAACTCCACTCGCCGTGTCTGGAGGAAGAAGAAGGATGAGTACAACCCCAAGAACACCATCCCAACCATGAATGTGGAAACATCATTCTTTGGGGATGCTTTTCTGCAAAGGGGACAGGAGGACTGCACCGTATTGAGGGGAGGATGGATGGGGCCATGTATCGTGAGATCTTGGCCAACAACCTCCTTCCCTCAGTAAGAGCATTGAAGATGGGTCGAGGCTGGGTCTTCCAGCATGACAACGACCCGAAACACATAGCCAGGGCAACTAAGGAGTGGCTCCGTAAGAAGCATCTCAAGATCCTGGAGTGGCCTAGCCAGTCTCCAGACCTGAACCCAATAGAAAATCTTTGGAGGGAGCTGAAAGTCCGTATTGCCCAGCGACAGCCCCGAAACCTGAAGGTCTGTATGGAGGAGTGGCTGCCCCACAATCCAAAGTAATAAAGTTGATAGTGTAGTCTCAAAACAATCAGACCAATTATTTTACTAAATGTAACTTTGAATATATTTAACTGCTTGGTTTTAGTAAAACATTTAAAACTTCTTCCCCTACCACAAAGACACTTGTAAAGAGTTAAAGTCCCACCAATTTTTCTTCATGGAGAATGTCCATCTAGTTTCATTTTTCTATTATTTAATGAGGGGAAAGACTGCTTCTATCCAGCCCATGATGTAGGCCTATAACCTAGCGCACTATGGTAAGACAGCCCGTTCCTCAGACAGTCACTGCTCTATCATGTGTGCGCCACACTGACACACACACACAAACCTGTTCTGCTCCTCCACCAGAAAGGAATATTAGAAAATATTTGCCATTGCCTGCACTTAGCCTCTGTCCAGGCTTTTAAAAATCATCTTTCGTCATGATTCGTCCAGTTGCATTCAATTTCACACTATAGGCCAACTGTCGTTTTTTTTTATTTTATGGAGGGTACAATAGGGGTGTGTTTTATGGGTACATAATCACAATAGGACTAAGGTTGACATCGCCCAACCCTATCACTGGTAACATCAGAAAATAAGATCCTGATATGGGACAACGAGCAGATTAACGCTGGGGAAAATCTGGGATTGGTATTACACTACACCATCCCTCATGTTGAACAGAAGATTTGCACTGTTGGACACCATTAACATTCAGGAGATGAGCTGTAATTAAAATATACAATCCGGTTTGGGCATGGCTAGCCCACACAATCCGAAGAGCAAACATCCGTGTGGGTACGGCATAATGCTAATGAAAGGTAGGCCCTCCCCTTCAGCTGTTCTGCCACACCTCCTATGCAATCTGATGCGGCACATAAGCATACATTGAGGCGGTTGGGACAAGAGGGGGGGCAGACAATGTAGTAAGGGTAAAAAGAGGCTGGTCCCCAGCACTGGGCACACAGACAGGCCCTTGCAGAGGGGCCCCAGCTGGGACTCATAACCCCCATGTCTGCAGGGAGGGAGACTATACCTCCTGTCAAATGACTAATATAAGAGCACAAATACACACCAATAAACAATGTGCAAACTGCAATGCAATGCCAGGTTAGCAGGCGCTATTGTGATGGGGAAAAATGAGTTTAGCTGTTACACGATATGGCTTTTGAAATCACCTTTGAGATTCAAAGGATCTGATGGCTATCACAGCTGAAGTAGATAAACAATATTTTAGTTTAAGTGGTTATTTTATGAGTTTAACCTAAATTTAAAAATGACATCAAGACTCATTCCTTGAATTAGGAAGTAAATAAAAAAGGTGTCACTTAGGTTGTACTGACGTGTACCTCAAACTCATCTCTGAGGCTTAGATGACGACAATGCACTGGGACAACCCACTTTCAACTTTGGCTTGCTTGCGTGTGTGTTTTAGGCATTCAAAACATTGCTGGAGACTGCTCAGTTTTTACCCATGTTGGTAGGTGACACTAGGTTTTGCCCTCTACTGTAATACAACAATAGGATGCAGGTGCAAGGCTGCTTTCCACCTGTCAAACCTCTGGCACAGTTAGTTAATATGCCTGAGACCTGCATGAACTAGGAAGCATAGTTACTACAGATGGATGAAGTGATCTAGTATCGAGTCCTACCCACCTTTTCATCTGTGCACTTTTTGATGAGTGCTTCACGAGCGTGCAGCTTGCCCTCCAGCATGCTGTTATCTCCTTCCTTCTGATCGATCTGTTTCCTGTGCGTGTCTACCTGCACCATCAGCTCCGAGTTGCGCTTCTCCAGTCGACTGCGCGCCGCGTCGGTCCGCTTCACCTGTGTCTGCACCTCAGCCAACTCGTCCAATAGGCGCCCTTGCTTGTTGGACACAGTCCAGTAGTTGAAAGACAGTATGGCAATGATCACCATCAATGCGATCAGGATGAAGGACGGCAGACGGCCTCCCCGTCGGTTTGCGCCAAAGCCAACCATTTCAGAATGTGTTCTATAATTGATCTAGAAAAGCCTATACTTCCACTGGTAAACAAATTGGGTAGCTGACATGCCGTTCAATTACGGCAAACATACAGCCACTGACATAGTCAATAAAGAAAGCATTTGTATCAAACCCCAATCGAGTTAATTGCATTAGCTAGCTGCAGGAAATGTGGGGAATAGTTATTCACGCGCCTTCCCTCTTCCGCACAGTTGTCGCCTGTCTTGTTTGCATTCATCCAATGACGCTGTCAGTGGATGAAATGCATCTGCAGCGACGTGGCCTAAATGCTATAGCAAACACTAGCCAAGCATGCAAGTGCCAAATTATTTAACTATCTAACGAGTCCAGAGTCAAATTATCTGAACGATTCTGGTGGGCCGTGAATCGTTTCAAGACAGCTAGAAAAAGTGTATTTATCCACCAAATCGTAAACCTACAGTTGCTAGCTAACACTTTAGCAACCTGATTGCGCTAACACAGATTTACCAAACTGGTTTGGCTAGCTGCTTGCCCTGAACGTGCTAGTCAGACACACTTGAAAGCAACTATTGTCATCCTAATGATACATCTTCATTATGCATTTTAATTATGTATATAGAAAATACTGTATTCAAACGTTAATCTAGCTAGCTAGCTAGCTAACCTTTCTAGCGCTATCCAATGCAATTCAACGAAGTCGCTACGCGTTAACTGCTAATCCTAGGAGCTACTACGCGAGATAGCAAAAGGGTAGCAATACGTTCTTTGTAGCTAGCTACTAGACTCATTTAAATACATTAACACGTGGTAAACGCTTATTTTACCGATAGATAACAATTTCCCTTACTAGCTGGCTAGTTTGCTGTAAGATTCCTACTCTGATCAGTTTTGTTTTACCCCTGTCCCCAGCTTCGAGCCTGTCTTGTCTGTTGATATGGTTACTTTAGCTACTTCCACCTTGCTTGGCTGGCATATCGTCTGTTGGTGCCTCTTGACTCGTGGACGCCAAACGCAAGCGACGTTGAATACAGTGATTAGCTATATCGTTATAAAGGTTAGACAGTTAACGTTACATTGACAAACGACTAACTAATGTAGAAAAATCTAGTTGATCAAATCATTGATTTCTGAAGCGTTGCCAAGGCGTGCAAGGTGCATGGTTGGGTTAAAGTGACAGTACAATTATCCAATCATGACATACGTCTTGCAATAAAGAGCACATTCTATTGGGTACCTCTTGCAAGTTTGGAAGCACATTGGATGACAGAAAAATGACATATGCGGGGTTTATACAGATCATGAGGGGGGGCTGGTTTCGGATTTCTAACGCGCTGAAGTTCCGTGTTCGTAGGCAGGGCACCACACAGTGGACAGAAATATGATATGATTCAGGATCATCAAGTCAAATTTACCAAAAATGTTGGTGTCTGACTCGGGTGGAAATGTGTGTGTGTGTGTGCAGGGCCGGTTCCAGGCATAAGCTAAATAAGTGGTCGCTTAAGGGGCACCAACCAATTAGTCTTATTATTTATATATATACACTACCGGTCAAAAGTTTTAGAACACCTACTCATTCAAGGGTTTTTCTTTATTTGAACTATTTTCTACATTGTAGAATAATAGGGAAGACATCAAAACTATGTAATTACATAAATGGAATTATGTAGTAACCAAAAAAGTGTTAAACAGATCAAAATATATTTTATATTTGAGATTCTTCAAATAGCCACCCTTTGCCTTGATGACAGCTTTGCACACTTTTGGCATTCTCTCAACCAGCTTAACCTAGAATGCTTTTCCAACAGTCTTGAAGGAGTTCCCACATATGCTGAGCACTTGTTGGCTGCTTTTCCTTCACTCTGCCGTCCGACTCATCCCAAACCATCTCAATTTGGTTGAGGTCGGGTGATTGTGGAGGCCAGGTCATCTGATGCAGCACTCCATCACTCTCCTTCTTGGTAAAATAGCCCTTACACAGCCTGGAGGTGTGTTGGGTCATTGTCCTGTTGAAAAACAAATGATAGTCCCACTAAGCCCAAACCAGATGGGATGGCGTATCGCTGCAGAATGCTGTGGTAGCCATGCTGGTTAAGTGTGCCTTGAATTCGAAAGAAATCACAGACAGTGTCACCAGCAAAGCAACCCACACCATAACACCTCCTCCTCCATGCTTTACGGTGGGAACTACACATGCTGAGATTATCAGTTCGCCCACACTGCATCTCACAGAGACAAGGCGGTTGGAACCAAAAATCTCCAATTTGGACTCCAGACCAAAGGACAAATTTCCACTGGTCTAATGTCCATTGCTCATGTTTCTTGGCCCAAGCAAGTCTCTTCTTATTATTGGTGTCCTTTAGTAGTGGTTTCTTTGCAGCAATTCGACCATGAAGGCCTGATTCACACAGTCTCCTCTGAACAGTTGATGTTGAGATGTGTCTGTTACTTGAACTCTGTGAAGCATTTATTTGGGCTGCAATTTCTGAGGCTGGCAACTCTAATAAACTTATCCTCTGCAGCAGAGGTAACTCTGGGTCTTCCATTCCTGTGGCGGTCCTCATGAGAGCCAGTTTAATCATAGCGCTTGATGGTTTTTGCGACTGCACTTGAAGAAACTTGAAAAGTTCTTGAAATGTTCCATATTGACTGACCTTCATGTCTTAAAGTATTGGTGGACTGTCGTTTCTCTTTGCTTATTTGAGCTGTTCTTGACATAATATGGACTTGGTCTTTTACCAAATAGGTATATCTTCTGTATACCCCCCCCCCCCCCCCTACCTTGTCACAACACAACTGATTGGCTTAAACACATTAAGAAGGAAAGAAATTCCACATATTAACTTTTAAGAAAGCACACCTGTTAATTGAAATGCATTCCAGATGACTACCTCATGAAGCTGGTTGAGAGAATGCCAAGAGTGTGCAAAGCTGTCATCAAGGCAAAGGGTGGCTATTTGAAGAATCTCAAATATAAAATATATTTTGATTTGTTTAACACTTTTTTGGTTACTTCATGATTACATATGTGTTATTTCATAGTTTTGATGTCTTCACTATTATTCTACAATGTAGAAAATAGTGCAAATAAAGAAAAACCCTTGAATGAGTAGGTGTTCTAAAACTTTTGACCGGCAGTGTATATAAATGTATATATTTATATATATATATTTTTTATTCAGTTAGGGTCTCAACTTACTATTAAAGGTGCAATACGCAGAAATCACTACGCCATTTCCTGGTTGCTAAAATTCTAATAGTTTGCCTAATTTCAGTTTATGTGACAAAACAATCAATGTCTTGTGTAGAGAATCATTGTACCTTCTAAACCGCTGTGCAATACAGTGGCTTGCGAAACTATTCACCCCCCTTGCCATTTTTCCTACTTTGTTGCCTTACAACCTGGAATTAAAAAAGATTTTTTTGGGGGGGTTGTATGATTTGATTTACACAATATGCCTACCACTTTGAAGATGCAAAATATTTGTTATTGTGAAACAAACAAGAAATAAGACATAACAACAGAAAACTTGAGCGTGCATAACTATTCACCCCCCCCCCCCCCCCCCCCAAAGAGCCACATTTTGCAGCAATTACAGCTGCAAGTCTCTTGGGGTATGTCTCTATAAGCTTGGCAAATATAGCCACTGGTATTTATTCCCATTCTTTAAGGCAAAACTGCTCCAGCTCCTTCAAGTTGGATGGGTTCCGCTGGTGTACAGCAATCTTTAAGTCATATCACAGATTCTCAATTGGATTGAGGTCTGGGCTTTGACTAGGCCATTCCAAGACATTTAAATGTTTCCCCTTAAACCACTCAAGTGTTGATTTAGCAGTATGCTTAGGGTCATTGTCCTGCTGGAAGGTGAACCTCCGTCCCAGTCTCAAATCTCTGGAAGACTGAAACAGGTTTCCCTCAAGAATTTCCCTGTATTTAGCGCCATCCATCATTCCTTCAATTCTGACCAGTTTCCCAGTCCCTGATGATGAAAAACATCCCCACAGCATGATGCTGCCACTACCATGCTTCACTGTGGGGATGGTGTTCTCGGGTGATGAGAGGTGTTGGGTTTGCGCTAGACATAGCGTTTTCCTTGATGGCCAAAAAGCTCAATTTTAGTCTCATCTGACCAGAGTACCTTCTTCCATATGTTTGGGGAGTCTCCCACATGCCTTTTGGTGAACAGCAAACGTGTTTGCTTATTTTTTCTTTAAGCAATGGCTTTTTTCCAGCCACTCTTCCATAAAGTCAAGCTCTGTGGAGTGTACGGCTTAAAGTGGTCCTATGGACAGATAATCCAATCTCCGCTGTGTAGCTTTGCAGTCCCTTCAGGGTTATCTTTGGTCTCTTTGTTGCCTCTCTGATTAATGCCCTCCTTGCCTGGTCCGTGCGTTTTGGTGGGCGGCCCTATCTTGGCAGGTTTGTTGTGGTGCCATATTCTTTCCATTTTTTAATAATGTATTTAATGGTGCTCCGTGGGATGTTCAAAGTTTCTGATCTTTTTTAATAACCCAACCCTGATCTGTACTTTTCCACAACTTTGTCCCTGACCTGTTTGGAGAACTCCTTGGTCTTCATGGTGCCGCTTGCTTGGTGGTGCCCCTTGCTTAGTGGTGTTGCACTCTGGGGCCTTTCAGAACAGGTGTATATATACTGAGATCATGTGACAGATCATGTGACACTTAGATTGCACACAGGTGGACTTTATTTAATTAATTATGTGACTTCTGAAGGTAATTGGTTGCACCAGATCTTATTTAGGGGCTTCATAGCAAAGGGGGTGAATACATATGCACGCACCACTTTTCCGTTATTTATTTCATTTCACTTCACCAATTTGGACTATTTTGTGTATGTCCATTACATGAAATCCAAAAAAAAATCGATTTAAATTACAGGTTGTAATGCAACAAAATAGGAAAAACGCCAAGGAGGATGAATACTTTTGCAAGGCACTGTATGTTCTTCTTCTTCGATTAGGTTTAACGGCGTTTGGCATCCAATAAATGTTGCATTACCGCCACCTACTAGACTTGAGTACAACTCCCTTATACTTTGCTTGAAAAAATAAATAAACAAATACCCTACCATCTAACACTACACTCACATAAAAATAACTAATAATAATAACACCAACCTACTCCACTATTTAAATCTATTTAGTCCTACCTCAGGCCAACAACCTGAAAAGATGGGACACCACCACTTAACACAGCCTGTAACTCTTCTGATGTTAAGTCTCGCACACCCAAATACCTCTCTGCAGCTGCCACCACAACCTCAATTTTCTGCGACTTACGTTCCATCCCTGCAGTACAGTTGATAACCATTGCTATAAATGCTAAAAATCCAATCTTACTGAAACATATATCACTTGTTGGCCTATATCTCTGTACTGGTATATATCTACTACTCACACCACTCCTCTCAGGATCCCTCCCCTTGACCCATATTCCTCTACTTTCTTCACTGCCTCAGCATATGACAACTTCTGTACTACTCTAACCCTGAAAAACCTCATCCTGCCTCTCGCGCATGGGACATTTCTGATCTCGCTGTGCAATATATTTTCAGTAACCACAAATATGAGATTTTCAGCTGTTTGAATCTGGTGTACAAAACCGAAGGTAAACGAAGCAAATACCAAACTTAAGCATGGGAAACATAGAAATAGCGCACATAGAACATATATATCGCTTCTTAGTCTTGCTTTCGATGTGAATGACAGATCTATAACTCACATTTCTATGTGAATTTGGTCGAGTCACCCAAAAAGTTACATATTGCAGCTTTAAGAATAAGAATAGTAGAATGCACCAGGTGAAATTTGGTTGTGCATTAGCAGTTTTTGTCTTATTATGTCAGTCACTGACAGTCACTCAATTAGCCATGTCAGCGAACAATTTTTAGATTGGTATTTAGTCTAGCCAGCTATCTAAACTTGTAGTAATCATGGCCGAATACCGACCGTGTACGTGCCCAGGGGCCCTGACCTCCAGGGGGACCCCATTGAATTTGTTAGTCACTGTCACTCAGATATCATATAAACATGGCATAAGTCATTACAAAAACAGCTCTTGCACTAAAATGGCAATATCATGTTCACAATTTCACAGTATTATTTCAACCTCATAGTGTGGAAACATAAAACACAGGAAAATCACGT